CAAAAAAAAAAAAATGAAAGTCATATGAGGACCCTTTCTGATTTGAAGTTTCTTAGAATCATAACCTCCTAAAAACTTAATCATTTTATTTATTGTTTTGACTGGTGTTAGTAAGTTTGTGGTTTGACCCCTGGGGTTTTGATGATCCAATGCACTTAGATTTTTGGTGATTTCTTTGCATTGTAAGCAAATATTTTTTAATGGTCAAGGGTTTCGGAGACAAGGTGTTAAAGTGGAAACAAAATTTCCCTCAAAACGACTGGTGTTGAGCGTGTTTATTGTAAGTTTTAGTGAGGGTTGCAACTTTTAATTTCAATTCTTGAATTCGATTTTACCAAGGGACATTTACTGTTTCTTTGAGCTTCCTAAGCTGTTCGTCAGACAATCTAAGTGGTTCCTTCTGAAAAAAATTTAAATAATCAAATGTTACACCGTTTTCAATTTATTTACTTCTGCTTTTTTTATGAACATATAGTTTGTTTTCCATATTTTTCCACACAATTTCTTCTAATGTGGTAGGAGAGTAATGATAAACATTTTCATTTTGACAGAAATTGATTTTATTTTAAAATTATGATTAAATCGTTAATTGATAAAATATGAAATATATGCAATAAAGAAAATATAGAAGCGCCACAAATATTCAAAAAAAATTTATTATTATTTACTACTCGAAGAAATTAACTACCTCAGTAACGTAGTTTAGTGGGTCAATAAAGATGTTCATGCCTTTGGAAATTAAGTAGCCCCCTCCAACCCCCGATCCCCCTCTTTTCAACATAAGTTGATTGAATTATTTTCACAGTCAAATAGCTTGGATCTCATTTGAACTTGGTGAAGAGGAACCAAACTCTTAAATAATTCATTGATCCCGGTTTAATTTAAGTTTTTACCCATTAACTATGAAACAGGCTGCGGAATTCGACACTCTTATTGACCATCTCCCTAAAGATAGTCATCTGCTTTGTAAAAGTGAGGGTAGAATTAAAAATGTAAAATTGAGGAAATCAATCTTGAATTTCAATTGCTTGAATTAAATATAAGTCCCTCTTAATACAATGACATTGTCTGTCTTATACTTCGTTATTTTGTAATTATCACGTGTTCTATGATATCAAGCACGCTGAGCATTAGTCATGTTTTTCAAGCATAAATGATTCTACTCGAGAAACATTTTCTTTTCTTTATGACTAAATGCTGTTTTCGTTATGCCAGTTTACAAATAAGGTCAATCTTAAGTACTAAAGTTGAATGTTTTCTTTTTTTCAGTCAAGAATTTGTTACACATGTAGTGAGGTATGAATATGGTATGAGATATGACACAATGAATTATGTATAAAACCGAGAAATAAGCTTTAATTTTGATTATAATCAATTATAAATATATGTTTAGCATGAAATAAGGTGCACATGAATAAACCTGAATGGAAATGTACTATAAATTAATTAAAGTCTTCCCCAGTTATACGATAGTATACGAGAGCTATTAGGAAATTATTGAGACAATGTGTATATTTTTAGTTTCTTATAAACACCTTTCCTTGGAAATTTTCATATACGTTAAAAAAGCATTAAAAACTCATAAAAGCAAGAAATATTTTATGAATATTTTTTTTCTCTTCGAGGAATATAAATGAATCGAAGTTAGGAGAACCGAGCAGTCTCAATAAATATTTTACACCAATATTAAATCTCCCTGTGGGCCCTTATAGGAGCGAAAATTATTCAATTTATGTGTATATCTTTTTTTTTAATTCAATTTCGACTTCAAATTGTACCAGTTTTTCATTTTTTTTTTAAAATTTTCATCATGAATATGGAGATCATTAAAAGAAATAGGCGCAGTAAAGAAATATGATAAGGACGACAAAATGCATTTTGACATCAAGGTGGAGCAGCGAGCATACCAGAAATTTTGTGAAGCGCTACGTAGAACTCTTATCCAGATTGAAAATAAAAAAAAGAAAAAAAAAAAGAAAAAAGACATGTCCACAGATTTGTTATTTTATTGGTATATAAATTTTTTTCTACGCGGCTAGGATAAGGCTGTCCGTAAAATATCAAACTGTTCAAACTGAAAGTACTTCTCTGAACTACCTCGATATGACGTCATAATATAATATAACGTGAAGTCACCGCATACTTGAGCTTACCTGACGGGAAAGTGTCATAATTTTTACATATGGCATGTATATTTTTAAGGACGTTGTAGTTTAATTCAAGTGCTGGGATTGATTTTATGCTCAATGTGCTGTTATGATGTTGAACATTTGGAATATATGTATCCCTTTTCCTTTTGCTTGTCCAGTACGTACATATTCAAACAATAGCGAAAAATAATATGTGAAACAGTCCCCTTACACGTCCGTAGAAAGAGTTAGAATTTTATGAATCGTGTTTATATTTGACTGGAACAAGTGAAAGACAAGGATAAATTGAAGATATTCTCTGTGAATTTACAAGAGAATTATTTCTCTCTAACTGAATTTTGCTGGGGGATTGTATGTAGTTCATCCATTTTTGTATAAATCGCGATAAGGAGTGGAATTTACCCCTTCTTATGTTGGTAAGTTGAGTTTGTCGTAAAATATTTTCTTAAGAAGTAAAATTTAAACCTGCCCCCAACACTTTTTATGTACCAGAGATCACGATGAATAAATATATGTAACAAACTGTGCACAGTAATTTTGTTTTGCACTTGTGCTGAAGCGATTTTGTGAAACATTTGAGTATGTCATAAAAGTCCGTCACGTGATCAACACAGTCATGTGACATCACAGAATTGCTTTATTATACAGCAAAACTCGCTTAAAAGGAAGTAGCTGGGACCTTTGAAATTACTTCGCTATATCATATATAATTCGTTATAACCGTACAAGAAAGTCATTAAAATTATACAGATGGGGATCCAAAATGACTTTGCTTTATTTGTGCATTCGCGATATCCGTGTTCGTACTAAACGAGTTTTACTGTAATACTTGATTAAACGATTATCTCAAGTTCAAACAAGCTCAAAATGAAATCTATATTTTTTAGGCATTTTAAGCCTTCGGACAGTTTTATTATAACTGCGTAACCAGTAATTCAAACATTATAGGAAAAATGAATACTCTGTACAAATATAGATTATCACAGAATTAATAACGCTGACATGTGTAGTAGAAAAGTTGTTGTGACATAACTGCTATCAGGGGTTACTTTTGCTACGACGGATTATATTTACCTACAACGAATTCGATAGTTTTCAAACAATAGTGAATAAATATGACGCCTTATAAATAGTTCCAATAGTTCTGAAATATGTTATTTATAAGGAATACTGCATTATCTATGATTTTTTTGGACCCTATCGAACAAATGTCCTTTCATGAAAGAGAATGAGCGGGTCTCAATTCAATAGGGATATGTATTTCCAAGAAGTCTACCTTATATGGCAAGGTTATTATTCCTCACATAGTTGCCAACCGAAAACGGTTGTCCAATCAAATGACAGATTTAGAAATCATGCTGGTTTACTTCACATTTATATTTTATCACATTCACGAAGTTAAGGTCAATTTACTTTTTATTCTCTTTTACATTTCAGACTTTTAATTGTCAGCCAAACATTAAATATTTTAATGTTTACGGTTTTGGGTCAAGAAATGCCCATGAAACTTGTATTCACTGATACAAGGAAATGCGCGTAGACATACGGCTAGCGAATTACCCACCACACACTTTACAGAATTTTTAACTAATTTTAAACTAGCCAAAGAGGAAAATTGTACGTACTTGCGCTCGTATATATTCAAAGCTTCAAAAAGTAGGGCAGGGTCAAAATTCAATCAGAATTGGATGTAATTATGAAACCTGTACCCAAGTAAGGTTTTTATATCTTTGAAATCATGTTTCTGTTTTTGTTAACAAATACTATTCCGTATTGGTACACATATCAATAAAAAGATACATACAGAACTTTGAGAATAATTTAGAAATTCATGTTTTGTCAATTTACCAAAGGCCGTTGATAACTGCATCCTTTTAAGCAATACATGATGCTTAGGCATACTGTTAATAGCCAGTTTGATGCATGAAAATAAACACTGATGTAGCAACAACATATATATATATATTTTAAAAAAAGAATCCTAAAGAAAAGAGAGATGTATTTCTATGTTATAAATGAAAACAAACAGAAAAAGATAAATGCTTCCCGGTCGATTTCGATCGAAAACATCTTCCCCTAACGTAACGTTTAAAATTGACGTAGCGATGCTGCCTCCAGGTCGATGGGCATACGTACCGAGGTATGTTTATAATTTCATCGGAAATTATCTAGATATCCCGTGAATTAGAAAGTTTGAATACTTGTTTTATTTTTTCTTTATATAAAGTCGATGGATTTTCATGAATTTATATCATGGACATTTTAATTTTATATTACTAACAGATAATATTTAAGCATTAAATTCATATTTTGGGATGCCTTCGGTCCTATAACACACCTGGCCGTGCCGACAAATTGAATACCGCGCGTTAGCGCGGTATGATAATTTGTCGGCACGGCCATGTGCCGTTTGTGACGTTGGAAAGTTAAATAACGCAAATAAACATTGCGAGGGAAAAAATGACAAATTAAATTTTAATGCACATTTGTTGTAATTTTATGTTAATTTTAAAAGGGTAGTTTTTTAAATGAAATTGAGTCAAAACAATATAGATTTTGTTGTTCATAAATATTGAAAATGCATGTAGTTCCTACTGTATATTCTAACACGCGGTGACAAGGTTTTGCGTGTGTTATAAAAATTTGAACGTCGTGGATTTCTAATGGATTTCATAAAGAAAATTACACTGAATGTAAATATAATGTGATGGACTGCTTCTAAATGATGTATTTAATAACGATATATTTATTTTTTTTTTGGGGGGGGGGGTAACACAAATTTAACTAATGTCATTCATATATGGAATTTATGTAATATATTAGTTGAATTAGTTGAAAATTGGTTGGATATCTGTTGAGAAATTTAACTTTATTGTAACAGACATACAGATTCATGAAAGCCTTGGAGTCTGTTCCTTGAATCTCTACACATGTTAAAACTAGTCGAGGTCCCTTCCACCTCGTCTTGGTATACCCCAGAATGATTTCCTCCTGTAAATTCATATCAGCTATAAAGTCCATCAGCATATGTAACAAGTGATAAAACAATAATAATATAAAAGGAAATATAAAGTAACTGTTGATATTTTCCAGATTGAATAATATTCCACTAACTGAAAACATGGAATGTATATATGATATAATCTTACTTCAAAGTTTTAAATGCTCTCCCTCCGTCTGGAAGTTGTTGTTGGTCTTCAAACACTCGAAAACCTATTTAGCATTGAAGTACAAGCCAAGATTTAATCGTTTTGTTTTCATGTTTTAAGGCGCTGTGACTATTTAACTTGATTCTAAGACTAAAATAAAATTTGAAAGGGGGAAGCTGGAGACTGCTTAATATCCACAACCTACTGTTGATCCAGAAAAGAAAGTGAGAGGGATTCAATTAATATCAACACAGGCTTAAATGTGTGTAGAACATTGCATAATAAATATTAAATAGTATTATCAAACGTAATTTCAAAATGTGTACTTGAAACATTTCTCTTAAACAAAGATCTTATGTTTCATAAGAAATATTTTTGCATTAAAATATATATTTATATTTTTTAAATTCCCAAATAAAAGATAATTTTATTGTGCTATTAAAAAAATTCTTCTACAATAATGAAAGAAAAATCTGATCTGTTAATTGTAGTGATATTTTATCCCATTGGTGAAGTTCTTTTTTTCTTGTATTTAAATAAATATGTATGAACTCTTCAACTATAAAGCTGTTTTATTGTGTTATAATTACATAAAAAAAATGAAGGAAATTTTATCTCATTTGTAAAGTTTACATTAATCTACTGACAGCAAAAAAAAATTGTTTTGAAATACACTGTCAAATTCGAAATTTTATAAGCTATTTTTTCTTATTTTTATTTACTAGACAAAGCTAGAGAGAGAGAGAGAGAGAGAGAGAGAGAGAGAGAGAGAGAGAGAGAGAGAGAGAGAGATGTTTTCAAGCGATATTTACCCCGTCTACCAATTCGACCAGGTGCGTCATGGTATCCTAAAATTCCTCTTTCTTCTGTTTGGAGTGACAAATTCAGAGTCAAAGAGATCTAGAGATATAAAAACACATATGAGTTAAACTGGTAAGAAACTGTTTTGTCTTTCAAAAATAGACTCCAATACTTATTTCTTACAAAATGTATTGAACATTTTTGTTGTTAGTTTTTTTTGCATCCTTAGAAAAAAATATTTTCACTAATATGATATAACAGCAATGCTGAAGACAATCGACTTTAATTTAAGACATATTCAAAATATCAGTATACACATTTTATGGTTGATTAAAAGTGACTTAAAGATAATCCTTAGACAGCACTACAGCAATTATAAATCGTCAATAAGCTATGTTTCATATATGTAGGTATTTAAATTGTGCAAAAATGACCCTTTTTTAACTTCATCCAAAAATATTTTATATTCAAACGATACGCGTAGAGAAATAAACAAGAATTGAAAGGGAAAGAAAATAATCAAAATTATTACTTACAATTAAGTAAATGCAGAGATATCGAATCATATCCTTCAGTCTGATGAACAGTTAATGAACAGAATCTCTAACGATACCTCTCTATATATTCCATAGCCCTAAAAAGTGAATGCTATTCAATATCACTGTGTTTGCAACATTTAGAATAACATTTTTTTTTCTAATTAACATGCTTGACGATAAATGTTTAAAAACGGTCTGCACGTTTTATCAAAGAGTTGTCCTATGTTTTCACTCTAAACCACCTGTTTCATGTTTTCTGATCAAAATATTTCAAAGAAAATGATCTAAAAAAAAAGTCCTTTTGACAAATGCAACTGAATGATATCAGTCCAGCTTGAAGCATTATTGAACAAGAAAAGTTGCCTTTTCAGTAGTAAACATTTATTGACTTTTAAGACTTAATAGTAGTTTATATAAAATATCCCATTACAATTCAACCCAACAACAAAATATATAATTGTTCCACAATGAAACAGTTTCGCTTAGCTGTCCACCAGCCAGACTGCCCCACTCAGTTTCTATAATTTACATGCAAACTCTTACAGGTACTAAAACGTTCTACTTTCCTATTTCTCCCTTCGCTCACCGTCTGTTCAGCGTTCGTTCAGCGTGCGTTTTTAGTGTTTTGAATATATGGAGAATTTTTAGAATATTTGATAAACATTAATAAACACGCAACCGACGATAGTTATGTACAATTTTACATAAAAATACTCTCTACAAGGAATTCTACATTATATCTCATCAGAAGAGTTTATTTATGTTAAAAATAGTTTTAATCTTAGACTAAATTGTTTGATGCTTAGTTAAGAAGTTTACCTTAAACAGAACACTCATGATTCTTTTGGTAGGTATTCCGTCACAGATTATAGAATCAATTATTGAATCCAAATTTCTGTACAGGTATTTTTTTTAAATAAATGTATCGGATACTTAAGTTAGAACAGTGGTTATATCTTTAAAAATATATCGAATGACATGACATTTCTAGAAGTATTTACAAACTTGAATAATAAGTTGTACAGATTAGAAAAAAAGATATTAAAGAACGTAATTATTTTACCTTGATTCCATAATTACTATTCCAAAGAAATATTTAAAATATTTAAAGGAGTACTCTCATAAATAATGAAATTTTATTACAAACAAGGAAGCGTATTTGTGTTTCTTGCTTCCTCTCCTCCCAAGAACTGGTGATAAAAAGCATGCGCACGAGGTTTCCATGTACATCCTATGGATGGATTATTGAATCGATGTGATGTAACACAAGGTCTTTTTTTTTCCTTTAAAAATAATATTTGCATTTAGAATGCATGATCTCATCTTTCAACTGCCAACCATATGTTCCATAGGTGCGGCCTAAATGATTTCAAAAATAGCCATTCAAGACGAAAAATAGCCTTCTAGTCCCTCTAACCATATGTGCAATCTGTCTATGTTGAAATATACACGCAGAAAGCAACTGGTTTTCTCAGTAAATCTGGATATTACGTGACTTTTGTGATGTAATATAATATATCTATTTTTTTTTTTTTAATTTGAACATTATATTTGTAACAATCGAATGCATTTCTAAAAAAAACTACTTACGTAAGCAGTGAATACATGTTCATAACAAAGTAATTGAAGAATGTGTCATCTAAACTTCATCAAATTTAACTATCCTTTGGAGAAAAGTTTTTAAAAAAAAAAGAGCTACGTTCACTTTATGCATAAATCGCCCTGTCCATATATCAATTAATTCACAATCATCCTCTTTCCCATTTTAAATTTTATATCAAAATTAATTAGAGACTTCGTACTTTTATTCCCTATAATAAAATTTCGTTTTTATAATCCGGATATTGGAAAACAGGCTTGCAGAATTTGTAATCTTGAAATTTGCAGAAAACATGCCTATTTGACTACCTTCGGTATATAATTAAAATAGAAGCACAATAGAAGTAGAAGCACAGCTCAAGATCCCCTAAAAGCACATGTTCTTTATCTTTAGAAAACAATCTATCTTTATAAATTTCTTATTTTGGATCAGGGGTTACTTATATTTTTGAAATATTGAAGAAAAAAAATACCTTATTTACAGGATCTTAGGAAAATGACACATTTAATGACTTCATAATACACTGACTAGAGTGAAATTAACGGCATACATGTACTACATAGGCAGTCCAAGTGATTAATACTGCATTTGCAACCTAAATTGAACGATTTCAATTTTGAGAAATTCTCAGGGCAAAAAAAAAAATTGATACATGTAAGTGTCTTCTTCTGAAGAAAAGTTAAAAATAAATTAATTTTATACCTTTTTCCAGTTTTATTATTCTGGGTTTTTTTTTGCTGAACATAGAGTTTGTTTGTTTGTTTTTTTTTTTTTTGGTTGTTGCCCATACCTTTTCTACACAGTTAATGCGGAAGGGGAGTTATGATAAAAATTTTAGTTTTAACACAAAATTGATTTTATTTTAAAATGATGATTTAAATTAAATTTATAATAAAACAGATTACTAATTCCATGACAAATATTTGTATTTCTGATGTACGCGGGTCTGTTAAGGCAGCACATGGATCAGAATTCTGTAAATTAACATTTTTTTTATAATTATGTAACACTAAGAAATCGGAAAAGTCAAGGATAAAACTTTTACTATAATTATGCATTCTATAGACTTCAATGGGACTTCTATTGTAGGAGGCACTTCACCAAGACGTCACCACGTGACGTTTCTAATTAGAAAATATACCTTAATGAAAAAGTGAAAAGTTTAACACTACCCCGAGATAAATAAGTTCCAATTTATATTCATAGTTATGTAAAAACATCTCTGTACCATGAAAAAAATGTTGCTAGAATCCTACTGTCCTCTTACTGTAGCACGTTTTTCATTCCATAATATTTCCATAACTCAAATCAAAATTAGATCAACAAGATGTGTTTGTCAAACACTATGCGCATACTTTTATCATATACAATACCGACCGAACACAACCTAACAGAAAGCAAACCCGAAGCCGACCACGGTTCCCTCTCTTGGTCCGCTTCGGGTTCGCTCGGGGTCTGCAAGGGCGAACCCGGAGCGGACCCAGAGAGCGAACCCCACTTTCAGTAGCGGTCTCAGAAAGCGAACGCGCGTTTGGTATTCTTTACGGAGCCGTCAATCAGGATTAGCGATTAACAGATCTGTCGACTGGGATAAGAGATCGAATGTGTGATGTTATTCGATACAAATCCAAACATTGTATATACGTACAAGCAAAGCGTGTGAATGCACAGTATACATGTGTAAATCTAGTATGAAAATTGTAAAATACCATTTCATATTTATTATAATTTTCCGGGCTGTATGTTAAATTTAATTATTTTCTTTATTTTTTGAATGCAATTAATAAATCATATATTTTAATTTTCCAGGTAGGATGTTAAATGAATATTTACCTATTTATTAAGGTCTCCCGTTTCCAACGGAAGACAATATTGTTTTCGTTCGGTTTCTTTTTCCCTATTATTATTAAGGTCTTTCGTTTCATACCGATTTATAGCAGGCGAGTTCTCGTAAACGGTTTGGTCGATTTTCACGAAACTTTCAGATCTGATAGATATTGGTCTGAACCTTATTGGAATTTTTTTATATGTTCGTCGTCACTTCTGGTCGTGAGATATGGACGATTTACTGATTTTTCAAAGGTCAGCTTGTCCTGGCAATCACTAAAAACGAATGAAGATATTGACTTGAGATTTTCAGTGAAGGTAGAGGAAGGACTGCTGCATTGCTTTTTTGAGCATATATCTTTCCATTGCAAATGGCGTTGAAGCTCACAAGAGCTCAGAAAATAGGCTCGGAAAATTTGACACTTTTTCTCTGATATCTTTATACTTGTAAATTATTTGTTAAAAGATGCATAATAAACGTTGTGCAGAATTGAATTTCCTTTCATTTGATATGAAGAAAAGGGATGTGAACCCTCAAATGAAGGGCAGAGATGGGCCAAAAGTCTTTCATGTTTAACTCTTTATTTATCATTTTTTTGGTATAAGTAACTGAAGCAAAAATGTTTATCATAACAATTTGCATCAATGCATTGTAAAATAATGATAATATGTTACGTAATTAGGGGCCATTTGGGGACGAAATGTTTAATCTTAGAATCTTTATACCTCCAAGACTGGAAATATTTTGATAAGCAGTATCGAATAAAAGATGCTCAGAATCGTCTTTTAAACATTATACAACCATTCTATATATGGAAAAACGTCCCATTAACGTTGTAAAGGACTGGCCCCTAAATTTTTCTATCCTACATAGCTCGAAAACAGAAAAAAATCTGTATTGTTATTGAACAAAAATTCTTTGAAATGAGAAACCTTATCATTAGATAGGAAGAAAGGGTCTGACCCCTCAAATAAGGGGTCCTTAGGGGCCAAAAAGACTTTCATCCATACCTACATGTATTTAAAAAATTCATAGAAAGTAAAAGAATTTAATCAAAGGAGAGAAGTCTTGATATCATTATGATCTAACGAATATCATAGTCAAAATCATATCTGATCAA